TGAGAATATTTTTATCAGTCTGTGTACTAGAGAGTTTGGTATTTTTCCAGTCCTGTCTGTGTTATGGCATCATGGGACTTGACCAGAACTTCTAACCAGCAAGTAGACAGTGACATCAATGACAGAGGGCCAACTTTAAAAGGAAAGTTTGAAAATGTCCTGAGAATACGTGATTCATCAGACAAAGGCAGCACTGTCCATGCTTCCATTCATATTTTTTCATGGCAAAATTTTTGTAGTCTGTGTTCTTTCAGTTATTTGATTGGCATAGATTCCTCGTTTATTAGTAAAACTCAACAGAATGAGTTCAAACATATGCGTTCTGGGATTCTTGGTCTTGACAGAGTTTTCCATCCACTCCATAATGCCACATGTGAAGGAACACAGCCTGGTTTATTTATTTAATAGCTCTCTGTGTCCTCTGAAGTCATGCACAAAATATTTCTAATGAGAAAAAAACCCAAAACCTTTTATAAATTAACAGTATCCATAGATTAAGAGACTGATGAGAAACAGCACAACACAGATTCACCCAGCATTAATATTTCCAGTGTGATCCTCTCTTTTTTGTTCAATTTTGAGAAATGATGGCATAAAAAGGGGGCTGTGCATTCAAGATATGGGCAAACTCAGCTGTGCTGCAGAGTTGAAGGTCAATCTTTTGACTTCAGAAGTGGCTATTTTGGGGTTAGTCTGTGTGAGAATAGGGCTGATCTGTATCTCCTGACAGCTTGGTACTCCTCTGTTTGTTTGTGGTAGACAAACAGACACTGGCATAGGCTATTTTTTTTTCTCCTAAATGTAATGAGGCAGCAGCCACTGATATGTCAATAAATATTATATTAAGAAACATTCTCTTCATCTTAAGTTAGTTGAGGGACCGAAGTATCTATCAAAAGTCCTTTGGGGGATTGGGATTTGATGCCCCATTGGTGCAAATTGCTGCTTATCCACCCATCCCAGTATTTTTGGCAGAGACACTTGGCAGTAGCACTGCTGAATTCACTGGAGCCGTGATTAACTTAACTCAACTGAGACCTGCCTCAGGAGACTCACTAGGTTGGAATTGTCCTCCAGGCTGTGGCTCTTAACTCCATAAAGGACTCGAGCAAATAATTTTATTTCCTTTGCCTCTGTTTCCACAAATTTAGATAGATTCTGATAACAACCATCACAGTCTCACAATTTGTCAGGCATAGTTAAACCTGCTGGAGGTATAGTTTTAAAGGGCTGTGTAGATATGTGATGGAAACACAAAGATGGGGTGAGATTTCTGGTGAACAGCGTTGTTGAACAACAATGCTGTTGAAAAAAAACAACCCCAAAAACAACAAAGCAAGACAGTAGTCCAGATAAAAACAGCATCAGAAACTAAGCTCCCAGCTGTGAACAATCAGCTTCATCTCTCCCTGCATGACACAGTTACTCTGCCAGGTATGTGAGCTTAGAAATTTAAAGAAAGTTTGCAAAATAAGTCTTGCTTTTCCCAGGTAAGAATAGGTTCTTTCCTCAGTAGAGTTTAAGAAATTTTGTCAAGTTATGTAAAGTGTTATGCAACATCCGCTTCATTTCTGTTGTATTGCCCATATTTTTTCCTGACAGAAACGCATTTAAAATTAATATTTAATGCCCTTGCTTTTAAGAAAGTATCTTTGATTCACTTCAGTCTGCTGCTGACTTCAGGTTCCTGGGAGAGGAGTAGCTGCATGAACTGAATATCAGTGTGCTGTCAGCTACCATGACTGAAAAGGGAAGGTGCAGCCTGGGAATGCTGGCTGAATGTGGCAGAACCACACATTTTCCCTTAGAAATGAGCAGAAGATAGCAAAACCTGTCACCTGAGAGCAGCCATAGGATAAATTGCTAAGAAGCATGAGATGCCACTTGGCTGTGTCCAAGAGGGAGAGTGGGGAAAAGAGCATAGGCACAGCATCCCTCTGAATGGAGGCAGAGCCCTTCAAGTCTTTAGATGAACTGTAGTACACAGAATTATTTTTGCTACAAAGTCATGCTTTTCTCATTCTTAATATTTTTTTATTTTTTTTAGCAGTGAAGCAATTAAAATCTTCATTCACCATATTGCACTTTAAAAATATAATTCACAAATATCAGCAGGCATGTTTTCATTCTGTCGTTCCTGATATTATTCATCACACCAGGCAACTCATGTATTTTTTAGCTGTATTCTTTCTTCTCTCAGATCTCGTTTCTTTTCAGAGGTTGAAGTGTGAAGCTCAGTGGTTGATTCACCTTTTGTAGAAGTGATGCATAAATTTTTGTTCCTAGTCTGTTCAGTAAATGTCATCGGTTTTGTCATGTAGGTGGCTCTTCATGTAGCATGCCTGGTTTTGAATATCTGGTTAGCAGGGGAAGCAAATGTATTTGAAGGCTAAATAGTGATGGATTGTAAACCCAAGCAAACAAAAAACCTCATCCCCCATCTCTCCCGGATAACTTGGTACATTTTTCCTGGCTCAGAAATGAGCTAATTGTTTCATTGCAAATCATCCTGTTCATACAGGAAAGTTTTGACCAGTTAGATATATTGCAGCACCTTTTCTCTTTGACCTGCTTTTCTGGTTTTCCAACTGGAAGATGTCATGGTTTCTGTGAGAAACAGAAGCATGGACTCTCAGAAAGATGAGTGAATTTTTCTGCCTGAAGCTGCATGAGTTTTACCAATGTCCATTCACATCTCTGTACTCTTCATGTAACATCGACCATTGTAGTCTTTGCAGTGACCTGCACATTGCTCAGAAAGTTGGACATGATATACTGATATAAACCCTATTTAGGGGAAAATATGGCAGCTTATCTTTAAACACTATCACTTTGGCATTTAGGCCAAAGCTGTGTTGTAACTGTATAGACATTGAAACATTTGATTTAACACTAATGTCTCGATATATACATTTTTAACTACAAAACTGCTCTATTTTTTGATCTTGCTGTTATTAAAACCTCAAGAGTATGCCACATAAACTGGTAGAAGAAGTAAACTTCTGGTTTAGCAGTGAGCAATTTCATAGAGCTCAATTTTGGAACCTCAAAGGCTGAATCATTTTTCAGGGTTGTTTTTGCAATGAATCATAGAATCACCATGATTGGAAAAGACCTATAAGATCATCAAGTCCAACCTTTAACCCAGCATGGCAAAGTCTACCACTAAGTGCCACATCTACACATCTTTTACCTATATGTCTTTTGCTGTCACCACTTCCCTGGGCAGTTTGTTCCAGTGCTTGACAACCCTTTTGGTGAAGAATTTTTTCTTAAGAACCAATCTAAACCTGCCCTGACACAACTTGAGGCCATTTGCTCTTGTCCTACTGCTTGTTACTTGGGAGCAGAGGCTGACCCCCTCCTGGCTTCTCCTGGTACCACCTCCTTTCATACAGTTGTAGAAAGCAATAAGGTTCCAGCCGAGCCTCCTTTTCTCCAGCCTAAACAACCCCAGTTTCCTCAGCCACTCCTCCTAAGACTTGTTCTCCAGACCCTTCACCTGCTTTGTTGCCCTTCTCCAGATGCTCTCCAACACTTCAGTGTCTTTCTTTGCAGTGAGGGGCCCAAAACTGAACATAGGATTTGAGGTGTGACCTTATCAGTACCAAGCACAGGTGAACAGTCACTTCTCTGGTCCTGCTGGTCACACTATTTCTGATACAGGCTAGGATGCCATTGGCCTTCTTGGCCACCTGGGCACACTGCTGACTTATGTTCCACTACCTGTTGACAGCTCCTTTTCTGATGATCATCTTTCCAGCCACTTTTCCCTAAGCCTGTAGCATTGCAGGCTGAAACATGGGATCCAGCACTTCACCTTGTGTATGTTTGTGTGAGATTCATAAATGCCACACATTCGTTGTACATAAAGATTTTTAAGTTACTAGATGAAGCACAAATTTCTAATAGATTTTACTGTACTTTGTTTAACCACTTCCTACTTTCAAGACTTGCTGCTGCAGAGCCCCAAGAACACATGCCCATGCAAGAACAGCTTCACAAATATTTCAAAACTTTTCTGTCTTAAATGTAAAATGATCAGCTGAAATGCCTGACTTGCTTTGGACCTTAGGCAACAACACATATGGGGAAACTTTGTGACAGAGATGTGTATATAACTTGCTTGAAGCTGAAGGATTGTACACCTTGGATGTTAGTTATGAATCAGTGTGGTTTCTTAAAATTAGACACAAGACTGGTTGCTGTCTGAAGAACAAAGAGCATCAGAGGATAATAAAGATATATTTGTTGGAAACATATTTTATAAATTGTTCTTCATATTCTTGACCTTCTTGATCATTCACCTCAAATATTTTTTGCTTTTCCTAGGATGGTATTTTATAAAAGATACTGCATTAGAAATTTATTTTGTAGGCCACCTTGTGTATGCATAGACTTCTGTTCCTACATCACTTAAGCATTTCCCTCAATCTTATTAGAACAAGCTTTCCATGATTTATTTGTCATCCTTGTCTTTATATTTGTGCAGACTCCCTCCTTTTCCTTTCATCTTCACTCATCCCAATTTTGTTGATATAACATCCTTACAGACTACAGTAGCTGCTTGCGTTCCTAGTAATTAAATGTAAAAGTCAGGACTCCTAAAAACTTTATGACATTAAGTGCTTTTTTTTTGTTTGCCATAGACTTGTGGTTTTTCCTCTAGCTTTTGATGTGTTACACTCTGAAGGAGCTGATGTTTCTCTAGTGCAGGAGAAACCCTGGCCAAGGCAAACTTTGATGAACCATGAGAAACCTTAATGAGGCAACACTCTTGACTAACTTTGCCTGCTTTTACAGAGGTTCAGGTTTGTCACTGTACAGTTATGTTACCACTGGAAAAATAATACAAGGAATCGAAGCAGTGTAATGTAGCAGCTTTGCACATCTTTGCTGGCCCACAGCCTGCATCAGCCACGGCTTAATTACATTGGATAGCATTTATAATACCAGTGTTCATTCCCTAACTATGTGATTATCACTTTGGCCTGTTTCAGATAAGAAGACAAGGCGGAATACAGTTACTGGTGGACCTATTGGACCATCGGATGACAGAAGTCCACCGTAGTGCCTGTGGAGCTTTGAGAAACTTGGTATATGGAAAGGCAAATGATGACAACAAAATTGCTCTGAAAAACTGTGGTGGTATCCCAGCATTAGTACGGTTACTCCGCAAGACTACAGATTTGGAAATCAGAGAACTGGTCACAGGTTTGAATCTTCCAATAATTTTTGTTCTAATTCTATATCGGACTCATAAGCACAGTGCATGCCACCTGCTCCATCCGTAACTATTTTATTGCCATCTTATTTTCCATAACAAAAAACTTTCAAGCCTTTTGGATATATATGTGAATAGCTTTCAGTATCATGCAGTTTACAGATGTAGGCATGGTTTACACCTATGGTTGCTGGTTCTCTTTGTTCTTGGCTAGCCATGAATGCTCTTTGGGAGATGTGGTAAGAATCCTCTGCTCTCTGTCCTCTCTGGTGTAGGGCTGCCCATGCAGAAGTTGTGTTTTACTGAATTTACTTAGAAGCTGTTGCTCATTCCTTTTATATCTCACTATATATAGTGAGAAGGAGGATTTGTTTGGGATTTCTTTACCTTTCTCAAGATTCTGATAGGAAAATGTGTTGGAGAGGTGGATGACATCATCTTCTGAAGCCTTTTTTCTGAAATTTGATAGCATGCTATGTGATTTGTTACACACAGAACATGCAGGTAGTGGCAGTCTATTTCTTTTCTTGATATAGTAAAATCTGGTCTTTTTAAGATTGTTTGGACCTTTTCCATTATGAAACTCAAGATGAGGAGGAGCAGGGGACAGTGTTCAGAAATATAGGAATGCTGTCAAACAGAACCAATCTGAAATGTTTGGAGTTTTTTCTCACCTTGCCCCTGAGCTATCCTATTTAATATGCAAAATGGAAGCTCGATGGAGGGGTTTTTAATTTTTCACTTTGTGATTTCATTCTATTTGATTGCTAATATCAATGTGGTGATTAATTTAATGCTACAAATAAAAAATATTTTCATTCTCCTATATTACAATGCCTGGATTTCCATTATGATTTTCCTACTAAAATATGTAAGAAAATTTCACATTTCTGTCATAAAAGCATCAGATTACACGTTATCGTCTATGCTTCAGCAGAAATTACTTACCCTTGTGCGTCAGGCCTCATTTAGGATACAATTGATAAGATTTTCATCCTTTGGTTGGCTCCAGGTTCCTTCCTTGAGTGTGCCTGAATAAATTGCATGGTGTTTATTAAATGTGGATTTTTATATTAAATTTTGTTTCTTAGTTACAACACTTACCTCCTACTTGTTAGTCAGGATTAATGGGCCATAGAAACTGGGTTACGTGAGCTCGGTTGGTGCCTCCTGCAGAGTGACAGAATTACTGACAGGTCTAATAAAGTGTAACCACTGCTTCAGATTCAACATACTTGTTTGTCTCTTGGTTATGTTGTTAGTGTCCTGGCTCCAGGGAGCGTTCTGCCTATTTATTCTGAGTAGTAAGTGGCAAACTGCTAATGAACATCAGCAGTACACCTCAGCAGCTGCAGTGGCACTTTCCATGCTGTCTGTAGATGGAACACATAATGTCATTAGGTCACGTAAAGAAAATATAGTGGACTATGATTTGCGTTCATTCCACTGCGCGGTATATTATTAAATTTCCCCAAATTCCTTCAGAAAGAAAGGATGAGTGTGCTAGCATGCCCTGAAAGTGTTAATACCAAGAGAAGTAGGTACAGACTATCAGTGTAGGCCAGTAACCTGCCTTTGTACAGATAGGTGCAACTCCCAGGGATGATGAACATCAGGAGTGCTCACATGTATGAAAGGGAAGCAAAGCAAGGTGGTGACCCTGAGGAATGGAATCAAAGTCAGTGGTATCTCCAGATTTTATTCCTGGGCCTGTTTTTGTATTGGGTTTTTTTGTTTGTTTTTAATAGGCAGTACATCCCAGAAGGCCACTGCTTGCCCTGGCTGTGTTTTGTGCCTTTCAGAATGTAAGTTACTGACCATGGCTTTCAAAATGCAAATCTGGTTGTGGTAGTGATTGACAAAGCTTCTTTCCAAACCTAAGCTCATAGCTGCAGCTCTCATCTTGCATCTCTTAGGAAACAGGCTCAAGTCACACTACTGAATCAGTTCTCCTTTGCTTGTTTGTGAAGTGTTGTAGTGTGACAGCGACCCCATCTCAATTCCTTCCTTCTGTCATTCCTGGAGAAGGAAAGGTAGTTCCTGCAGAATAGAATAGAATAAAATAATAGAACCATCAAGGTTGAAAGAGAGCTCATCAAGTCCAACCATCAACCCAGCACTACCACTGTAACCTCTAAACCATATCACCCAGCACCAGATCCAAATGCCTCTTAAACGCTTACCGGAGTGGTGACTCCCCCCCCTCCTTGGGCAACCTATTCCAGTGTCTGACCACCCTAACAATGAAATTGTTTTTCTCTAATATCTAGTGTGAGTTTCCGCTGTCTCAGTTTAAGGCCATTTCCTCTAGTCTTCTCACTGGCAGAAGAGACCAGCCCCCACCTCTCTACAACCTCCTTTCAAGTAGTTGTAGAGAGTGATGAGGTCACCACTGAGCCTTCTCTTCTCAAGACTAAACAAACCCAATTCCCTTAGCCCTTCCTCACACAATATGTTTTCTAGACCCTTTATTAGTGTCATTGCCCTTTGCTGGACACACTCAAGCACCTCGATGTCCTGTTTCAAGTGAGGAGCCCAAAACAGGATGCAGTACTCAAGGTGCAGCCACACCAGTGCCAAGTACACTTGATCACTTCCCTAGACCTATTGGATGAACTATTCTTGATACAGGCCAAGATGCCCCTTCGTGGCCACCTGTGCACACTGTTGGCTCATACTGAGCCAGCTGTCAACCAGTGCCCCCCAGTCCCTTTCTGACAAAACAAACTTGAGCCACTTCTCCCCCAGCCTGTAGTGCTGCATGGGGTTGTTGTGTTCCAAGTGCAGGACACGGCTCTTCCCGTTACTGAACCTCACGCCACTGTCCTTAGTCCATTGATTGAGTCTGTCCAAGTCTCTCTGTAGAGCCTCCCTACCCACAGGCAGATTGACAGTCTTACCCAACTTTGTGACATCTACAAACTTACTGAGGGTGCACTTGCCCCCCAGTCCCTTTCTGACAAACAACTCTTGAGCCACTTCTCCCCCAGCCTGTAGTGCTGCATGGGGTTGTTGTGTTCCAAGTGCAGGACACGGCTCTTCCCGTTACTGAACCTCACGCCACTGTCCTTAGTCCATTGATTGAGTCTGTCCAAGTCTCTCTGTAGAGCCTCCCTACCCACAGGCAGATTGACAGTCTTACCCAACTTTGTGACATCTACAAACTTACTGAGGGTGCACTTAATCCCCATGCCCAGATCATCAATAAAGATGTTAAACAGGACTGACCCCACGACTGAGCCCTAGGGAAGACCACAGCTCTCTCAGTAATGGAAGGATTTTACTGGGTGGCAGGCACAAGGGAAAATAAAAGAAGTTCCTCATTCTTTTCATTAACCTTCCTGAGCTGAGGTGGCAGGAAGGTAATTATTTCAGTAGTGCCACCATAGCCTGATGGAGATACAGAGAAAATACTAGCAAATGTCTGTTTTAGGAGTAAGCATATTACCTTGAGCCTTTCCATCTCATATTCATTGTGCATCATGTCTACATAAAAGTTGCTCTTATGTTTTACTTTTAGAGAGGACACAAAAGTTCTGCCTTAGGAATTCATACAGACTGACATTGCTGTCCCTAAATACTCCTCCAGCATTTGTCCTCCAAGCACTTTTCTTATGTGGGGAAGTGTCATTATCTCCGTTGTACAGATGGGGAGCTGAGCCTATCAAGTGTAAATGACCTGTCCAGAAATCTGGCAAGACAACTATGTGAATCACTCTGAGTAGGCACTCAGCTGCAAGGGAAGAAATATGGGCAGGAAAGGTTATTTAGCAGCTCAATTTGTCTGGCAGTAGTGAAGCATTCAATGCCTGCCCCAAGTACCATGAAGCATTCACCCGCCAGAGTGAAAGTTCTGATATTAGTTCCTTTCTCAAACATGCACATTTTCTTCCTTCTTGTTGCTTCTCTCTAAGGAGATTATAATTTCAATTTCTGGCTATCAGAAGACTGGTTTTGAAAAGGCACTTAAACCTGCAGACCAACTTTCTATCCCAGCAGCTCCTTGCTTGTCAGGATTGCCTTCAGCACCATTTGGGCTATTCCTCTTTTCCAGAGATTTCTTACTGCCATAATCTCTCCAAAACAGAGTTTTTCACTTTTTCCTTTATCTCATTTTCCTCCTCCTCAGTAGCAGAGGTCTCAGGCTAGTATTGGAAAATGTCACCATGCTCAAATTTTTGGAGTGCTCAAATTTTTGGACTGCACAAACTTAACCTTATAGCAAGCATCAGAGCTTGTGGAGCAAATGGTTTCGGTGCAGGCTCCCATGTAGAAGCCATGAAGGAAGTGTGCTGCCTGGCTGTTATGAAATTAAAGAGTGATAAGGCCCAGGAAATGCTTCCTAAGATATGGAAGGATTACTCTTACAGAAACACTTCCATAGTCACAGGTTCTTGCTAGAAGAACCTGAATAAACTGAGGTTTTCCAACAAATACATACATTTTTGCAGAAGTGTAGTACCCTGCTAGAAACAGAGATGTTGTCATGGCCTACAGCCTCTGGTAATTTTTAGGGACTCGAGGAGAATCTGAGTTACAATATCTTCTTTCATGTAGGTCTGTAAATGAAAAGAAATAGGTGTAAGCTGGATGCACCACACTTAATTTAGCCATCTTGTCACCCCAGCATTGTGCTACGAGTCTCCACAGTAGCTTCTGTTAATGAGAAAAAAAAGAAAAGCCTTCTATTTTAAAATAATTGAATGTTAACACTTTTCTAATAAATATAAATAGCCAAGAACACAGTACAAAATTAGCACAGATCCTGCAGATGGTAGAAAGAAATGTTTTCACTTGGTAATAATGACAATGAGTAACTGATTTCTGATTCTCTTGCCTTTCCCAAGTTAATTATGAACCCTTCCATAAAGTTCTATTTTAGCATTCTTTCTATTTGTTTTACTGTCAGGGAAAAAAATACCACATGAAAAATGTGACACGTTAGCAAGGAATCCCATGGATGCCTTGTGGAGAGGTGAGGTCAAGCACC